AGCAGCAGCAGTCAGTTGGTCACATGAATAAGCAAAAAAACTACCGTACACACTCGTCAACTGAATGCCGGAATAATTAAATTTTACACGTACTAACACATAAACGCACACACACACATGTGATGAACAAAAATAGAAAAAACGGATGAGTTATTGTGGTTGAACCGATAGCAAGTGAACATCACTCATGGAACTTTTCATCAGACTCAATCTATCCCACAAAAAAACTCAATATCGACGCTTATCACCGAAAAAAAGATGCACTTTTACCGTCATGAACACTACTGCTGCAATGGACGAACATTGGTGCGAAGCAAAAAAAGCCGAAAAAACGTCTGTATTGAAGGCTAAAACTTATCAGCTGCATCGAGAAGCACATTTTTTTCAGTGTCTGTTTACCCTATTGGAATTTCTTTCTGCTCCTTTTTTTAGCAATCAATAAACGATCAATTGTTTCTACCGTATTACACCAACAATAAGCATTCAGAGTTCTACTTCATTTAAGCCATTTTGTCTAATTAGTGGAGCTTTTGTGTTGATAATGAGGCATTTTTTGGTGTAGTGAAATGGCTGTAGGAAGCGGTGCGGCGGTTTCTAAGAATGATATCTGATGCAAGAAGGGTATGAAAACCAGGAAAAATAGATGATACCATGTGTTTCTATGGTGTTTTCAACGAGTTACAAGTTGATGAAAACACTTCGATTGCATATATCACTTTTTTCTTACTTACCTCAAAACACGAACCATAAATTTCCTGTACTATAGGCAAATGGATAAACAACTGACAAACGATGCGCTACAATGACGTACGAGTTCAAAAACTCATCACAAATAAGAAACACAATAGAAATTCTCCGGTTTCATTCGAATTCTGACGCCATGTTGCAGCTGTGAAAATTGAATTGATGGGTTCTTTTGGATAGATTGCCGTTGATTTATTTATTCGTTTGTTTATGTATTTATCTAGTCATTTTTCACATCCGATAGTGCGGTGCAACAATCATTGTGATTTAGTGGTAAGATTAGGGCCACGAACATCAACATTTCATGTGCTATTCAACGTTCGTTCCCTCTGAAAATTTGTGCTGTTCTCCAACAGTTTCTTTTATCCACACTACTCTCCGTTGAGTCTTACATTCGCATATAATTCCAAATGCTGTTGTTATCTTAAAAACTGAGGAACTCCCAGAAGGACAACAACAATATCATCAAATGCAGCAAATTACTTCGACGACTGAACCACAATGAAACTGGCTATTGAAGAGGATGACGTATGAATGAACATATCGTACTATATAACTGTTGAACATATCTGCTANATGTAGCCACCCAGCATTACACTAACGAGTGTAATGAATTTCTTCTTGAAAGCAAAAACTTTTTGGAAATTTACAACGGAGCGCGCGAACGTAGAACGCGAAAACTCATTAATATCAGGAACAGAATTTTCTCATGTACAAAAAGAAGATGGCATAAACCTGGTCACGAGCTGTGAACAAGAAAACAGGAAATAAACTAAACAAACTCATGAATGTCAAGTAAACCAATTGACGATGGAAACACAATCAATTACAGAAATGTATCGAAATTAGTGAAAACTGGTCGACCAACCTGATAGATTTCGTTGAGTTTAAGGCGTTTTTCGGGGCTACTTTCGATTGCCTCGATAATCAGATCCTTGTAGCTCAAACTGGGTCGTTCAGCCTTCTCAACTATCGGCGTTTCTTGCCCGCTAACACTCGGCACACTGGTCACAGCTACAGCTGTCGCAGTTGCGGTCGTGCTTCCGAGGTTCGCTGAGGGTTCTGTGTTCGACTCTGACGTTGAGCCGGAATCGTCGGGGCTTGTCGCCGTTCTGCTCGCGGCCGACGCATTCAGCAAGGAGGATGTCAGCGCGCTGGTGAAGGGTGATGGAGATCGAACCATTGTGGGCGCTGACGAGAACAAATGTTGATTTGAGGAAGTGGCGTTGTGCATAATCGATGGATTGATCAGGTCCATTAGTTCTAAGGCAGTACCTAACGTGGACGATGCGTTTTCTGCGCTTGAGTGTTGCTGTTGTTGCTGTTGTTGTGGTTGTGGCTGCGACTGCTGGTGACACAACTCCAGAGTGGCGATTGCTGGATCCGCGATCGTTTCACTCGTTTCAGAAGTTGACGATGAGTCGATTCCTAGCTTCGATGCTACTGCAGCGCCGGCTGCCTGCGCACCAAATATGGCGAAATCAACCGAAAATGGGGCAAAAAGAGCCGTTTTGCTCGTTGGGTGGATTTTCTGCGGAATGTAATTTTCGTGGTACGACGGCAAGCGATTTGCACCTGCTCTCTCGTGTTGTTCTTGACGACGACGACGATGTGATGATGATGACCAAATCAATTAATTAATTCAGTCACTTGTTTCGTGTGATGTTGATTACAGAATAATATCAAGGAAGTATGTGTGTGTATGTGTGTATGTAATATTCTGAAATTTTAGCGTCGTATTAGT